CAACCACCACTATTATTAAAAATCATAATTATTTAAGGGTCTGTTTGGTTCAATCGAGGGGAGGAGGGGGGAGGAATTTTTATTAAGGGGAGGGGAAGGGAGGAGAGAGATTTTAATTACATATATGTTTGGTTCAAAATATGAAAGGGGATGGGAGGGAAGTCATTTTATTTACAAATATGTTTAGTTCACAAGGGGGAAAAAGGTATTTTAAAACTAATTTACTTTTTTATCCTTCTACTTTTACTAATTCAAATACAAATTTATTGACGAAATATAAATATTTAATTAGAGATCGTCATGAAATATTTTATAAAAACGTAATGATATAATATATAATTGACTAACTTACAGTTTTGGTCCCCCTATTATTATAAACAAAAACATTACGATAATTAAAAATTAACATTAAAATTTAAAAAATAAAATTAAAAAATTTAAACAGATATAATGATAGGAAGATGAAGATATAAAAATACAAAAAATATAAAAAGAAAGATTAAATTTGTTCAAAATAAAACTTTTAATATTGTTATAAATTAAATTTATATTTAAATCAATAATAAGGGTAAATATGTAAATATAATTATAATTAAAATCAAATATCTTCCCTCCCCTCCAAATCGGAGTGAAGCAAAAAGTGGTTTAGGAGGGATTTTGGTCCCTTCCATCTACCTCCCCTCTCCCTCTTAAAATTTGAACCAAACACATAAATTATTAAATATTCTCTCCCCTCCCCTCCATTTACTCCCAACCAAACAGACCCTAAGGCAAATAAAATTTGTGAGGGGAAATGAATTTTTTTTCAAACCAACATTAGTGTCGGCTAGGACAACCACTACTATAAATAAATAAATAAATCCTCAAACAAATATATAAATAAATATTAGTGTCGATCACAATCGTTGTTTTTATTAAAAAATCATAATTACTTAACACAATAAAAAAGGGAGGCAAACAAATTTTTTGGGGGAAATGAAAAAAAATTATGCACCAATATTAGTGTCGGTTGTGGTTGTCGCTACGATAAAACAATATATAAATAAATAATTAATTAAATGAATTTACATGTAAATATACGTTAGTGTCAATCTAAATCGCCACTAGCATTTCATCAAATGAATTTAAAATAATAAAATAACATAAATACATAAGTAGTGCCGGTTTAAGCCGACGGTAATGTTAATCATAAAATAAAATAAAAACATATAACAAATGATTTACCCTATTAGCGTTGACTTCCAATGACATACAATCAATGTTATTAGCGTCAGATTTGGGGCCGACGCTAAATTCTTGAAGGTAAAACATGATTTTCTTGTGGTGAATAACAATGGTGTGGTGAAGGTTGACAAATCAAGTATAACTATTATGACCGAATGAGAGTTAATCCAAGAGATATTTTCAAAAGCGGATGACATCATGAAATTGCACATCAAAGAGCAGCTTAAGAAGATTGCATATCCAGAAACAACGGATATGTGACCACCGTCGGAATTGACTAAAACAAATAGTGCCCCTAAAAATGTGAAACCGACATATAGTCACAACTCTACGAGATAGTCTCCTTCATACTTTGAACGCGTTGACTCATATTTTTCGGATTCTCCTAAATGTGTTTTCAAGGGTGCTCGAATTAGCAAATCATCTACTCCACCACCATTACCAAAAATCATTCACATTGAAGAGATGCCACTTTTTATGCACAAATATATTGGTGATGGCAAGTGGGGTTTTTGAGTTGTTTCTGATTTGCTCGATAAATGAGAGGAAGACCACAAATGTGTCCTCTTTCAGCTTATACAAGAGATGATGACACATATGGAATCATACACAGTTATATGTGACAAAAGAAAGTCACGATACAATTCTCAATGCTCTTGTTCCTTGTCTTAGTGGTTCGACATCGTTTAACAAATGGATGCGCTTTTCAGAAATGGGACACCTTATAAAAAGTGCTTATGATAGAGTGTGTATTGATTTAACACGATATGGTTTCTGAAAAACTTTATTTCCACTTCAGAGTATGTCACCTTAAAATCCATATAAACGCATCAAGTGTATTGGATGGATTTCAAAAACATGTCCTGATGATAGGATATAATTTCTAAGGTCCAAATTGATCTCCAACTAGTATAAATAAGGGTCTCTCAATCCATTTTCTTTACAAAATCTAGAATGAATACATATCCACATATTGCATTTGTGCAGTTCAATAGCCAAATCCCCCACTTTAATTTAGGATCTCTAAGGACATATTTCTCATCAATTTGAAAACCAAACTGAATACTCTCATGTGATATCCAGAAAATCAGAGAGTTGTCAAGTTCGAGTATCATTCACCTTCGATTGACAACGAATGGAAGATAGATTTCACCATGCTTGAACTGAAGACAGGTGATGATTTAAAGGTGATGTGGAGTACATTTTACCGTTACTCAATAAAGGGTTCGATTAAAGTGGATGCAACAATTGCAAGATCCACCAAAGATATTCTAAGGATGTTATTACGTCCTGAGCCATCCGTTTATAATTAAATTTAGTGTTAAATTTATGTTAACATTGACGATTATCTATGTAATATTTATTTTTATGTTAATTTATGTTGTATTTCTATTATTCTGCCATTGTTCCTAGTTGTTTTTGGTTTAAACAAACAGGGCACATTCCGGAGATGCATCTCTAGAAACATCGCTGAATATTGAACAAAAGGAGTTATACAGATACATCTCCAAACAAACTCTAATGTTGATATAGAGATGCATCTCCAAACAAACTCAAATGTTGATATAAAGATGCATACTTGGACTAACCAAATATGCAAGATAGGGTGCCTTATCAATTTGCGCTGATAGGTGTGTAAATAAGGTATGTTCGAAGATGCATCTCCGGACACTAGGGACAATTGTGACTTTTACCAGTGGTAGGAGAACACCCCTAAGGGTGGAAAGAGTAACCCCCCCAAATAAATTTATTATAACGAGTACAAGGGTACTCGAACTCATGTCCAACAACGATTACAATCTTAAAAAACACGCAATCAATCAATTTAACCAGTCACAGAATGAGTACATATGAGTCAATCCTCATAAATTATAAAACCACACCCAAGTAATGAACTTGATATTATCGATTATCTCAGAGGAATTAACTATCTTTCAATTAAAACAATATTGTTCCTTTCCGATCATAAGCTCCAACACGTGGCTAACCAAAAGATGTGGGAAATTTTATAGTTCTTTATGCTCTTGGTAATGGTGCTAAAAGAGGAGAAATTTTGCACCTCATCCTCCTCCCAAGAAGCAAGAAACCAATTCAACCACACAAATATATCTTTCTAGATAGTTGTGGCGACGCGGCAAGAGAAGAAAAAATGGTTGTGTTTCCAAGTGCTTGAAGCATACGATGCATCATTGTTGATGTGTGTCGCTAAAAATACATTTGTGCTAAATATTTGCCATTTTATGGAGCCTATCTTAAAGGAGACGCCATCCAAACGCCTTAACTTTACTTGGGGCTTCTGTTTGTCAAAGTCTATTGCAAGCGACAATGAAACTATTATCAAGCAATAGCTCGGACCTGAGACTAAACAACTTAATATACCCACTTCTGACAGAGCAAGTGTGTTGCGGCTCGAGAGCCCAACGAATGAAATAATGCTTTATAACTCAGTTGCGCTGATGCACATGACCAGATCAGTGGCCTAAGCTAATTCATGTGCTTCAAGAGGTCTGATCCATTATAAATTTCACCTCCACACATTGTTATGTCATTCACCCGTATTATATATTTTATCATCTTAGGAATGCAACAAGAGATTATAAAAGCTGAATTTTAATGTCGAATCACTTGTTTAGACATCATTCCAAAAGAAAATTAAGTAATTGTTTCCCGCCTTCTAATCTGAAAGGCCGACAAACCAGTTTGATCTTCCATCTTCGACGAATAATATTTTTCCACCACAATAAAGCTGAGGCTTGATACACGAAATTAATCGAGTGTGCGAGACGCGGGTAACTTCCCATCACTATTATAAGAAAAATAATGCTTTCTCCGCCTCAAAAAAGTGTTACATTTGTAAAAACTATTTATCTCAATTAATTTCCAATGCATTTTTTATTTTTGTCTTCTCATTGTATTCCTAATGAATATTCCTAAATTACTATTTCTCTCATATTGCATTAATAATAATTAAAATACATTAATAGCTAATAAAAATAATTTCTCTCATATTGCATTAATAATAATTAAAATACACTAATAGCTAATAAAAAAATTAATAAAATTATTATTCTCTCTAACTCATTTATCATTTATCAATTTTTCTTAATATGTGAATGCGCCTACTCTGACTTATTTTAAATTATTTTAAATTAGAGGTACTAGAAGTAAGAAATCTTATAATTAAAAAAATTAGTTAAACATAATTACTTTTCTACAATTCATGTAAAAACACAAGCACACATAAAATTTAATAAACTTATTTTTTATATTCAATTAACTTTCTCCATTAAATGTTTTTTGAGTTAAATGAAGAGTATATTAATAATTCAAACACTAAATAGCTTTAAAATTATTAACGTTTCCTTTATAATAATTATCAAAATTTTAGGACATTTTTTTATTTATAATGCGACAGTGGGGAGTATATCAATATATTAAAAGTTGTCATCAATTTTAAGCAGTAGAACAAATAATTAGGAATACAGTGAGAAGATAAAAATAAAAAAATGCATTGAAAATGAAAATTAAAACTATATAGAACAAATAATTAGGAATACAATGAGAAGAAAAATAAAAAATGCATTGAAAATGAAAATTAAAACTATAGTATACATCCCATGGATACGGGACCAATGTTTTTCACTTAGCAGTTACTAAACAAAAGTTGAGCAAAATCTAAGTGTATTCAATACCACCTATTACTTACAGCAGTTTCATAATTCACTTCCACAAGGAATAATTTGAACATAATGTAACTGAATATGCATTTTCATCTTTCAAACATGATATAGCTTTATGATCTGGTCTATCTTAGACCGACAAACAGGGCAACCCCATTTCTTGGTTTTAACTTCATTCAAACAAGACATGCATCCAGCAACATGGCCACAAGGTATGCATGCCCCTTCTGCTGGAGCATCTAAACAAATCACGCACGTTGAACCACTTCCTCCAACAGTCATTCCTTCTTCGTTAGGGAGGTTCCCAACTACTGAAGCTGATACATTAACAGGGCTCAAATCAATTGATGGATAGTGAATCGGGCCATCAAATGGAACCTCGTCAGCAAATGGAGGAGCTGATGGATTGACATCGAGACCACTGGCAGTGTGCCCAGCAGAGACATTGCCATCGCTTTGGACATGTTGAGTATTGTCAACTGAAACAGGTTCATGTACAAACTCATTAGCATTTGGATTTGGATTTGGTGTACCGAGAAAACCTTGTACTGCATTCGATCCACTGATGGAAGAACTTGCATCAGGAAAGCTTGGCCTCTCCTGGATAGCATGCTGAATAGATGCATGGATAGCCATAGCCAACTCTGGGTCTTCAGCGGAAGGTGGTGCTGTTGGTGGAACGGTAACCATATTATTATTCAAAAATGCTGGACTTACCTGGAAAAATCCAAAGATTAGAACACCATGCAGTGAGCAAGCAGGTTACGCATATATTTATTATATGCAAACATTTGTAAGAAAGTAATTTGGGTTGCAAATAAATCGAGTGAAATGAAAGAAAAAATGTCTTAGCCTTTTATATTAATCATTTTGCAAATAAACAATTAGAAATTGGATTAAAAAAATGCACTTCGAGAAGATAAAGGAAATAAAGAAAATGGAAACGTCGCCATATATACTTTGAAGACAACTTGTATAGGTATTGAAATCAAGGTCAAAAGCCAGAGGAAACAACTAAACTAACATTTTAATGGGAAAGGAATCAGAATATTTGCACCATTTATTGGTTTTATGCAGAGTAAAAAATGAGTCTGAGAAATCTTCCATGATTAATTACATTAAAACTGAACTAACTTGGTAGGTGTTACGAAGTAAATCAAATACTGATTTTTTTACAGAGGAAGAAATCCCTACATCTGAGTATATATGTTGAGCACCAAATGCTGCAAACAAAATGCTAGAGAAAATTTAAGAAAATTGTATTTTGGCCACTCAAGCATTTTTCACAGATAAGGAAAAAAGTCCAATTTCCCAACAGAGGTTTTAAAGAACTACCAACTGTAGCTTATGTTATGTTTTGAGAAAATGAAGATTACTCTCCCTCTTTCATAACACAGCCACGGTGAGAAAGTAGGCTATTTGCTAATTTTCAAATTGTCTTTGAACAAAAAATCCAGCAGCTTATCATTGAGAACTTTGAATCATTTTCATACGATTAGTTTTTGAAACTTCTAGGCTGTTTTCGGCAACGTCTTTTTTCTAATTCCCAACTTGTTTATTGATCTTTGAGCTATTTTCCATCTAGGTAAAAATCCCTCTAGAAGTCAAAAGTCCCCTCTAAAGTCAAGTCCTTTATTTAGATGTGGTGCTTAATAGAACTATTATTTAATGCCGTGTGGATTCATAAAGGCTCTTCCCAAAATATTTGTGTTGTGTATAATGGCACTTGCTCAGAATCAATTCCTCACATATTTATGTCAAATGACAGGCCATTTAAATCTAAGTTCTTAACTGTTTGGCCTATAGTTTTTTAGATCCCTATACCAATTTTTTATGATTAATTTTAAACGTTTTGGACTTTTAGTAGAATAAAATAGTGTAAGTTTGTGTGGTAATGTGCAATCCATGCAACATTTTGGTGGGTAGGTTGTGTGAACTCAAGAACATTTGATCCATGTAGCCGACCCCACTAAGTGGGATAACGCTTGGTTGTTGTTGGTGTTGGTTGTGTGTAACTCAAACATTTAAAATTTCTTTGGCACAACAGCTGATATGGGATAAGATTTGATTCTTTGTTTCTGTTTATTTTCACTTTTAATGGAGTTTCCCTAACAGATATATGTTGAAGGATTTGGCAGCTATGAACTATCAATGTGTGTTTTTGCTCTATCCTGAAGAGGATTTTTTATACTCCAAATATGTTTTCATGTATGGTTATTAAGAGCCCTAGATTACGTAGATAAAAGTGTTCAATATGGCACTTAGGACATGAGGCTCTCCCGCCTACAGGACTAGTCTTTTGGGCTGGACTACCCTCATAGGCTTAATCATAAACAATTGATGTTCTCGTCCAAAGTTGAACTACAGAAAGGTCTACTACCTGTAGGCTGGCTTAAGACTCACAACTGAATACAGATAGATGAGTGAAGCTGCCAAAGAGGAAAGGGGTACAACCAAGTCAATGCCGATAGATTGAAAGCTTCCATGGACGTCGGCTCTTAATGGGTGTGACAATGTTAGGAATCCCACATTTAGATAAAATTGCCCAATGTAATACTTAGGCCATGAGGCTCTCACACCTAACGGACTACTCTTTTGGGTTGGACTCATCTCATGGGGATTAAATCCTAACATGTATTCTCTTCATCTTAATAATTTTATCTTTAAAAGAATGGTACACCGTATGGATCAACTTCTTCGTTACATATACAGTTAAAAAGCACAATATTCCAATCCAAAATAGAAACTGTTAAACAAAATACAGAAAAGAGATTCTACAGCTACACTTTAAGTAAAGTAAAATTTCAAACAGAAATAACATCATTATTATATTGCAAATTACAAACCTGTGGAATTCCTTTGCAAGCATTAGAAAACCATGTAAGTTGTTGTTTGTCATTCTCATTTGCAGGTCCAAATTTATGACGTGTTTCTGGAAAAGGGCAGAGAAAATTTAACAGAATCGAAGTCAGTCAAGAAGGAAAGAAGCATTTCTTGTATGAAAAACCAGGGTTGTCAAACTCTTAAGTTGAAGCCTTAAACAACATTATAATCCCAGGATCAAAACAGACTTCATCATATATAAACTCATTTTTCTGTCAAAACATGCACTATTTCGAGTAAACACTAACAAATGCCAGTGAACTCTAGATTATACCAGCGAGTTTCAAAGTTTAGATTCACACATGGTTTAGACCTCAAAACACATAGCTTATTGATTACATGGTGTACTTTGATTGAGTTTCCTTCATTCTACTATATGTATTTTGGTTTTGTTTTTTTCATCCTGTGCTTTTGTTCAGCTTAGTATAATTTGACAGTTGGGTCTAGTTTTGACATGTGTTTTTCACTTTATTACATTTGTTTATTTTAATAGGTTGAGCTTGATGGTGGACATTCCATAAATTATGTTTGGGGTATTAGGACATATTTTCTAAATGAATTTGAGGTATTGCAAGAGTTTATGCTCAAGTTTACAAAGTCCACTAGTTTTCCGAAACTTTGGATTTTGACAACCTTGAGTAAAACAAGTGTTGGGAAGTGTTCCGAGTAGAGTGTAATATTCCACAATACAAATTGAAGGAGTCTTATCTTAAACTTTTGGCCTGCAGGCAAAAGTGAGGCGTATCATTCACCAAGTAGTGTCACAGTTTTTAAAATATCATTGTAAACTTCAAATTTTGCAAAGTTAAAATTTAAAAGATATGGTGTTACTAGTAAATCTGAAAAAGAAAATATGAACACTCCAGTATTTCAACTCAATTCCCTTATCTTACTCTACTCATATCTCAACTGATATACGACTATACTACAAAGTCTAAAATTGAAAGATATAATTGAGGTTGTATTAACACGTAGCTTGGTACTTTATCACAGATTACCTTATCTTTCACTACTCTTGTCTACATTAATTTTTCTCTTAAATATACACAAGTTATACCTCCCAATTTCTAGTTCCAAGTGATATAACAAGACTTAAATAGAAAAACTGATTGTGACAACATGGATGACCAAAACAAAAAAAAATGAAGAGAGAAATAAAAAGAAAAAGAGCTCAGAATAAGAGATTACTGGTTGTCTTATCAGTAATTGACACTGAGAGATCAGACTGACGAAGCCTTGGTTCTTCTAAATTGGCCTTCCACAGAGGAACAATTGTGCGGGGTTTTGCATCCTGCCCATTTAATTATATGCTTTGAGTGGACATATAAATAGAGATAATGAAAGGGGAAAAAACCCTAGTAATTACAATCATTTCAATGTTCCAGACATTTTTACACGTTAGTTCAAACATCTTTCTGACAGTGGAACATGAAATTATTATTTTATGTGTGTGTGATATGTGAAAGGATGATTTGGTAATTATGGAGTACCTGCAAAGTGGAATATACTGCAAGCTCCAACTTGTAAGGCATGGTGAGACCGCGTGAGCCTACTGGTAAAACTACCACCCAACTGTAAAAAAAGATTAACCAATGAACATAATCACTTTTCTTTTACTAAAAGATCCTTTCCGAAAATAGTTTTTGTTGTTTGAATGCAAGGTCAATCATCTACCAAAAATAATAGACCAATTAACCATAAAATAGAAAATGCAGAAGTGAACTGAGATGATTCAACATGTCACACGATACGTACACTTTCCTTGATACCAAATTAGGAGCTACTACTTCTAGAAACCCAGGTCCATGAAACTCCCGCAACCAACCAGAGAACAAGCATAAATGACTCTACAAAACAGTACTCATCATTTGAAGATCTTAAACATCAGCCCATTCAACTTCATCAACAACACAATGATATAATATAACATTCAAAAAGTTTAAACACTACCTCCATTGCACGAACAACATTGCTATTTCCTTTAGCCCTAGCAACCTCAAGAGGAGTTTGACAATCATCATTCAACACCAAAGGATTGGCTGCAGAGTTGAACATTTAAATAACATTCATCGAAGTCTCTAAAATTCAAACCATTTTTTATAATATAGACACTTGACAATGCATACCTCCATGCAAAAGAAGTAACTTAACAATACTTTCAAGGCCCCTTTTAGCTGCATGATGCAACGGAGTCCCAGCATGACGTCCTGAAAGTAGTTGAAAGTTTGAATTTTCAATCTCCACTACAATACTTGTCCACAAAAATCAAGGATAACAGCAGAAACAACAAGTCATGTTATCTTACTTTATTACTAAGAAAAATAAACTTTGAATGGTAACTTAATAGAACTCCCTCTATTCCTTACTATAAGGAAAATTTCACTTTTTAGATACATTAAATAATCTATGTATTAGACTATATATGAACCAGATAAATTGATTATTCCGGAATCAGAAAACATAACAAGTAAACAAAGAAAAAGAGTCATACCGGGACGGTATGCATTGACATTGGCTCCAAGTTCAATCAACGTTTTAGCAATATTGTAAAGTTCAGGATTCATACAAGCAACAATCAAGGGTGTTTTTCCTTCTCTATCTATATACTGCATCAAACATCAACAACATCATCATAATCAACAATAAAATCCAATGGATCCAAATCCAAAATCATCACCAAACCCTTAAACACTACCCAATCATCATCATCATCATAAAGAAATTGTTGGAAATTTTGGTTTACCTCAAGGCCTGCACCTTCTCGGTGAAGGGCTTTGATTCCATCGGAATTCCCATAACTGACTTGCTGGTAGAGCAACTCGCTTTTCGATTGCCCTTGTCCCATGAGGAAAATTACGAATTCGGAAGCAAAATCGAAATTCTTTTCTTATTTTTCTAAAATTATGCTATAAATAAATAGACAGAGATATAATAATAAGTGGATTTGAGTTGAATGAGAAATAAAATTCCAGGAAAATTAGAAACTTTCCTGGAAAAGTAGTAGTATGGGATGAAAACCAAAACCAGTGAGAAAATAATGCAGGGGAGAATATTGGGGGTAAAAGTGTAAATGTGTTTTGTTTTGTGAGCGCGTTCCTTACGCTATTTCTTAGGATATAAGTAATGGACGTTTTCGGTGAAGCAGCGCAAACAGTTAAGGAGGGAAGGGGTGGATTTATAGGATTAATACGTCTCACCTTATTACGGTCCACTGCCACATGTTGAAGAATGAATATTAATGAGAAATAGATATGATTTAAAATTTATGGTCATTCAATTATTTATCATCAAATATTAATTAATTTTGAATCTGATTTTCTAAACACAATTGAGATAATGGTTGTATCTAAAAAATGATTATATTTAAAATGACAATTAAGTTATATTTGTGAATATAATTAATAAAATAAATTAAATGAAATGCATATTATTAATAAAAAGATTAAATAATTACAATATTATTTAATGTATAATTATAAAAAGATATTTAAGATAACTGTGTTAAAAATATTACGCCTAGATACAAAATTAAAGTTTAGTACAAAATAAATATTATATATAATAGAAAATAATATAATATAAAAGTACACCTCATTTTTTATTTCTGAAATATGAGTATTTTTAAAATGGTGAAGATACATATCCGTATTAGATAGGTACCGTACTTGTTTTACTTCATTATTTTTTTTATTATTTGATATCTAATTAAATTTGTGATTTTTTTCAAATATCAATATAATCTTCGTTATTATATCTTAGTATTATTTATGATTTTTTAAACTTTTATAGTGATGATGTGTTGTGAATCTAATAATTTGATTCTCATAGAAAAAAACTCTTATTTTTTATTAACGTACCTACACTTTAATTTATTTTTTTTAAATGTCATATTTCATATCGATATTAGTATCTACATCGGATACCGTACCTGTAACTATGTATCATATAGATAAGATTATAAAAATCGATTTTTTATGACATTATATTGCATGATCCAAATATTTAAAAAAATTTAACTTATATCTATAATAAATTTTAAATATATTTTAATTATTAGTATATAAATATTTAAATATATAAATATTTGTTACAATATACTAATTACCTAGAAACTAATAGTTATAAATGTTAATTATATTATAATATATTAATTAATAGTATTAAAATTTAAATTTATGTTATTATTATTTTGTTCCATTTATACCATAAATTTGTTTTTATGGTATTAAAAATTTAATTATTTTTTATGACATTAATTATCTTTTTATAGTATAATTCATTATTATAATTTAATTTTTTTATCCAAAAAAAATTAAGAGCGTTATTTATAAAATAATAATTATTGTTGCGTAAAAATCTAAAAATGATAAATATTTAGATATTTTATTTTTCAAAAAAAAACAATTAAAAATAAATAGAGAAAATATAGATTTCAATAACTTAGAAATTTCATATAAAATCTAATATATTGACTTTTCGTTGATACAAGACTAATATAATAGGACTATTTATTGGAAAATAATATAATTGTACTCTTTATTCTAAAATTATTATTTTATTTATTAAAAAAATACTATAACTAATGATTTCTTTAATACATTATTAAATAATCTTTTTTTAATTATCTTATTTATAACATTAATTAATTTCATTAAATCATTTTATTAAATACTTATGAAAAAGATTAACAAACTCAGCTGTTCATTCTAAAAAAAAAAAAAAATTTATTACTTGAAATGTCAAAATAAATTTCAAAAATAAGTGTTAGATTATATACTTTGAAAAGTGTATTATTGAATTTCAATTATTACATTTATTTTTAAATATTATATTTAAAATTAAATTTATGATGATGAGGAGCATATTAATAGTTAATTTATTTTGACAACATTCTTCTATATTTTAATATGCAAGTAAAAAATTTAAATATTATTTGTTAATTGAAGATGTAATAAATCCTATTGAAATTCATTAAAAAGGATCAAATCAAATTAATCAATAATAAATGTCCTACTTATTCAAATACGAGAAAGATATAGATTTTTTATAAATTAATTAATTTAAATATTCAAATACTAAAAAAATATTTTTTTTAAACAGGACAACTTTTTTATTGATCCAAATATTTGTATAAATAATAATAAATCAAAAATAATATTTACATACGGAAAAAAATTTACTATTGACTCAAATGTTTTTAAATATATAAAAAAAATTGTACTTTTAATCCAAATATAAATAAATATGTGTCTTTCTTATAAATATAATAAACTTTATTGATTAAATATATTTTTTTTCTGTTTTTTATTTTTATTATATTTTAGAAACAAATGTGCACACACCATTACTTGTGTGAACCCACGGGTATTCAGACTAAAATTCGTGCGAACACAATGTTATCATATTTTTTGTATAATTAAAAAAAGTAAAAGTAAATATATTTAAAATAATTTATGAATCCAAACACAAAAAAATGTGTTTGATTTTTAATTATTTATGTTACTAATATTTTTATTTCGAAATGATTTATAATTAATATTTATATATAGCAAATAAGAAAATTATTAAATAATTAATAAACAAGTTTTTAATTATTATAAAAGTGTTAAATATACAATCATTTTTAATTTAAAAAAATGAGCATATTTTAAATGGTAATTAAACTATATTTTTGAAAGAAAAAAGAGATTAAATCATTTTAAATGCATATTTATGTATGAATGATATTCAAACCATGATATTTTCATATATGTGATTTCATATAAATAAATTATATTAAACTCATAATAAAAAAATAAGACAAAATAATATTTATATACGAGAAAATATATTGTTGATCTAAATATTTATATATAAGTAAAAATTATATTTATGATCCAATTATAAATAAAAATAAGTCTTTCTTTTAAAAAATAATAAATTTTTTTGTTTAAACAATTTTGTTTTTCTTCCTTTTCATTCTTATTACATTTTTAAAATAAATACTACCCTGCACGGTATCTACGGGTTTAAATAAAACTACCATACTAGTATCGGACGTAGCCACATATTTAAAGAAATTATATAAACGTGAAAAATAAAATTATTAATCAAAATATTGAATAATAGAAATTTATCAATTCAGTATATACGTTATAAAATATACTGTTGATCCAAATATTTTAAATGGTTTTATTTTAATATATGACAATGAATTTAGAAAAACAAAAATAATTTCAAAACATAAATAATATTTACGTATAGAAGAAAAATACTATTGATTCAAATATTTTTATATACGCAAAAACATTATAGACACCAATTTATTCTCTTTTAAAATAATAATTTCTTTTGGTTTTACAATTTTATCTTTTATTTATTTTATTTTAATTACATTTTAGAAGAAAAAAATATGTGCAACACACCAAGTACTTCTGCGTTCGCACAAGTATACCTATCAGAATTCGTGTGAACGCAAGCCTTATTACATTTTTTTTGCATAATTAAAAAAAATAAAAGTTGATACATTTAAAATAATGTATAAATCCAAACACAGGCAAAATATGTTTATTTATGTTATTACTATTTATTTATACTATTAAAATAAAATTTACAAATATTATATTATTAGTTGATGTTTATAAAATTAAATGAATGCGTAAATTTTCTATAAATAATATCAAAACAAAATTAATATTTATTTGATCCAAATATTTGTATATATAAAAAAAAACTATATTTATGCTCTAAATATAAATAAAAATATGTTTTTTCTTGCAAATAATAAACTTTTATGGTTAAATAATTTTGTCTTTCTTATTTTTTCTTTCTTATTACATTATAGAAACAAATGCGCCTAACACATCGGGACCTATGTGAATGCACAGGTATTCCACTAATTTTTTAGGATAGAAGTAATAGACATTTTTGGTGAAGCGTCACAGACAATTAAGGAGGGAAGGGGTGGATTAATACATCTCACCTTATTGTGGTCCACTAGCATTTATATAAATACTAACGTTTGGACGGTGCACTAGCACATGTCCGCTTTTATTAATGTACAGACAGCTCAAAATATAAACGGTAATTTTTGTGTGTTTATTTTTTATTTTAATTTAAATTATTTATAAAATAAAATAAATATGCAAACCACCATATAGCGATTAATAAAAGAGAATTGGAGATTTAAAATAAAAACTGAAAATAATATAATTAAAATAAAAATAGGCTACAGCAAAATCAAGTTTTACCTTTATATATAATTATAGATTATATTAATATAATTTAAACATATCTCACATTTTAGATATTGATTTATATAGATAAGAAATTTTAAGAGATGTAATCGGTTCGGTTTGAACTGGTTTGTTTTGGTACGGTTTTTAGTATTGGTTCGATTGATAGGTTTTTGACACTTTTTTCAAATATTATATTCATCTATGTACTCTCTTCTATCATATATTTTTGTTCAATTTTCTTCTATTATTTTTTTTAAATGATATATTTCATTACAACTATTCCGTGCTCTACTTACGAACAACTTACAAGTTTTACGTAATCCATACAAAACAGTTATATGATTCATATTGCATTATGAAAAAAGTTCATTATCAAATACAAAAATTGGTACTTAATTAGTTGTGACTAATACAACTAAAACAAGTTCACCATCACATGAGCTCTCTCTTTAACAAAGTATAACCAACATAGGTTCCACTTGCATTATCGACCGTCACACAACAAACAAGCATGTTCCTAAGTTCTTACCATTTTTTTCTTCCTTGTGATTCAAAGTCATATTAAAACTCAGGGTTTTCTTACACAATTTCCACCCCTCATCCATGTAATGACAAGTTACACACATGC